GAACATCTAATACATCCCAGTGCTGTCTACGTCCTGGGCAATACCAGAATGAACAAGGTGGCAAAGGCACACGCAGCCCGTTGGGGAAAACGCCCATTAAACAGGCGTTATTACAGGGGAGTGAGTGCTCCACGCAGGGGTGCCTTGAGAACACATCGCAGGGGTTTGCTCAGGTCTAGGGGGTCTACGAGGGCCTCCCTAGGGTGTGGTCCTTAAGCTGGAGGAGGAAAAGACCTCAGCTGAGAGCAAGGCAGCGGCAGGAACGCACTAGTGTCCCAGGCAGAGGGAACACGGTAGGGAAAGAATGCTGGTGAACATTCCAGTTCTAGAAAGGATGTGTCTGTCTGATTATAAATCCGCATCCTGTGAGCTTGCTGTCTGCCTCAGGATACTGACCTATTCGGACATCAAAAGGTTCATTTGCCCTCTGGCTTCTGTTTGGTTTGATCAATAGGGAGCCATGGCAGATGTCAGAGGGAGGGTGGAAGTGAGTGCAGGCTGTCAGTCCCTTTTTTCTTCCTGTGGTTGCCTTGGGCTGAGTGCGTCCTTTGATCAAAAGTCACTGCTTCTTTCAAGGTGGTATTTTTTTACCTACTTGTATCCTTCCTGGTTCCAGTACCCTTCTCTTTTCATCCTCTCTGGCCTAAGGGATGGCCTGTTACTAGTCCCAGGTAACTGTATTGATCCTCAGAGGTGCCCTACACCTGGCCCCACCATTGTCGTGGTCCATTCATGGTATTTTTGGGGGGACACAGAGTCTTGCTCTGTCACCCTGGCTAGAGTGTAGTGGTGTCATTGTAGCTCACAGCAACCTCAAACTCCTGGGCTCAAGCAATCCTCCTGCCTCAGCCTCCTGAGTAGCTGGGACTACAGGCATGAGCCACCGCACCAGACTAATTTTTCTATTTTTAGTAGAGATGGGGGTCTCACTCTTGCTCAGGCTGGTCTCGAACTCCTGGCCGCAAGCAATCCTCCCGCTTTAGCCTCCTAGAGACCTAGGATTACAGGCGTGAGCCACCGTGCCTGGCCCCATTTGTAGTCTTAATGTTTTAATTTGGATGTGCCCTGTTTCCCATTAGGATGCCGACTGGTGCAGTTACAGAGATGAATTCTGTTCAGAACAGCCGTGCAATGACTTTTCAAAACAAAAAACAAAGCAAACAAAAAAATCCACGTTAGTTTACCTGACTCCCTTTCCACCGGGCGTGGGCATGCGTATAATTCATCCAATGAGATTCAAGCGAACCTTGCAGAGGGGCCGGGGCGCTTCTCGGCGGGGTTCCCTCCCTGTTTCTTTAGCCCTTTAACCTGCCTCCTTGGACAGTACACAGAATGTTCACATTTGGAGCAGCATGAAAGCAACGTGCTGAGGATGGAGCAGAGAGCTGAGAAGGAGGCTGCAGCCTGAAGGCACCTGTTACATAAGACAAATGCAGGTGTGAGTGAGTCACTGTGGTTGGGTGTCTGTCACCTGCAGCTGATGCAATGCCAACCGATACTTAGGCCTCTTCTCCAATTCTGTTTGCTTTCTGCTGGCTGTTTACATAACCTCCCTGGCTCTCTCCCTTGTCGGTCCCTCCTGTCGGGGCTCTGCTGCTGCTGCTGGCCTCGCCAGCTCTTGGCAGCACCTTCTTCTTGCTTCCTATCCCCAGGTTCCTGGACCTTGCACCTAGAAACTAGACCCTTTTCCTTAACTCTGGGATGCTTCCTGGCAAACCTCGTTTGTGCCCAACCCTCAGAAACAGCTCTAGGAGTCTAGATCCAGCAAGAAAGTGGCTAAACTTAGCAAGTTAATGTAGCAGGACACTCACTGCAGTTGGAATCAGGAGATCTGGGTTTATTCCTCTATTGCTTTCTGCCTTGTGACCAGGGGCAAGTTTGGTCATCTCTTTCAGACCCAGGTTTTATCGTTAAAACTGATGAATTGGCTCCCCTATGCCGTAGAGTTCTTATGAGATTCAAAATCAAGTAAAAATGTTTTCCAGCTTTGAACACATAGCCACAGCACGGCCAGCATAATAATGTAGAAATTATTATTGGAGACAGTGCGAGAGCAATGGGTAAGAGCCAGGCGGGCTGAGCAACTGTGAGCCCAGAGGAGGCAGTTAACTTTCTGGCACTTTGGGCTCTCCAATGGCTAAACAGTGACACTATCCACACTGCCTCACAGCATTTTCACTGCCCCAAATAAGGCCGCCTCTGGACACTGGGATTTCTTTTCCTCATTGTTGAGGTCTTAGCTAGTGGCGTTATAAGAAACGAGTGTGCCGTAAGTAAATTCATTTAGAAACTTACCTCCTTATTATTGCAGGATAAAGGAATCTGGCTATTTCTTGCAATGCAGTTTATCTCCTCCTGGAGACCTAGAAAAAGGAGGCATCTAGAAGATACTCCATTTTTTTCTTTTTTTCCTGAATCTGGCTTTCTCTCCATTTCACTTGGTGCTTTCTCTACCTGGCCAAAGTCACGGGTAATTAACCTCCATATAATAAGTCCTGGGGGTCTCTGCTCTGTTCCTTCCAGAATTTATTTCCAAAATGGATCCGCATCTAGCTCTGCCTGCAAACAGGCAGCGAACTCCTGCAAGCTGCCTGCCAAGAGGACTTGGGAAAAGTGGGGAGTGGGCGCACACCAATGTTTGCAGCACCAAACGTGGGCCGGTGAACATGAAAGGAGAAGTGGCATAAAAGCTTTAGAGCAAGCCCTGGAGCTGGACTTCCTGGGTTTGAATCCCATCTCTGCCGCTTGTGATCTCATGCCCTTGGATGTGTTATCTGGTCTTCTTCTTGTGGCTCGGTTTTTCTCCTCTAAAATACAGGAATGAGAAGAAGACCTCTCTCTCAAGTTTCTTGTAAGGATTAAAGTGCATTATAGACAAAATTCTTAGAACAGTACCTGGCACATAGTAGGATTACGTGGGGTTTTCTGTCTTTGTCATTGCACTGGAGATCCAGTGCAAGGGTTGCAAACTCAGATACCTCCAGCAGGTGACGTGGGAAACTTTGGGAACTGCAGCAGCCAGAGCCCGCCGGCCCCGGGCAGAGCAGGCAGCTGCTACTCAGTTCCCCTCCCCTGTACTGAGGCTCGGGCTGTGGGCCAGGTCTTCCGGATGATTCAATTAGTTCCCCAAAAAATAGAAGTTGGATCTTTATTGTGATTTTTAAATACTGACACCTAGTTTAGAAACCCTTACCACAGTACACACACCAAACAAAACGCGCTAAGGGCTAAGTGCGGCCCACAGGCCTCTGGTTTACGGTGTCTGCGTGACAGAACCCTACAGCAGATGGATGTCTGCACCCCCACTCTGTAATTTCCCGTCCTGACTCCCGTGAGCCAGGCCTCTAGTCTTGGAAAAGTCTGCGTGAGCCAGGGCTGCACCTGGGTCTTGAGTGGACCAAACAGGTGCTGGAAAGGGGTGAGCCCGCCCGGCCGCACGCCGCCCTGGGCCAGCACCTGCCAAGCACGACCCGAGCACCTTCTCACCGTGAGGTGGGCGCACCCAGCCTGGATTTGTAGATGGGAGAACCTAGACTCAGAAAGATAAAGAGACCTGCCCAAGCTTACCTGGCCACGGTTGGCAGAGCAGAGACTCACAGTCAGATCTGTCTGACACCCAAACCCACATTCTTGGCTGCTTTTTAAAACCATTTGCCAGTGAAGCTACAGAAATGCAGAAAATGTAAGCCCCTGAAATGCCACAGTTTCAGTGGTTTAACCTGAAAGTAGATCATTTCTCATTCGTAACCAAAAGTATGTATCTCGGCCGGGTGAGGTGGCTCACGCCTGTAATCCTAGCACTCTGGGAGGCCCAGGCGGGCGGATTGCTCAAGGTCAGGAGTTTGAAGCCAGCCTGAGCAAGAGCGAGACCCCGTCTCTACTATAAACAGAAAGAAATTAATTGGCCAACTAATATATATAGAAAAAATTAGCCAGGCACAGTGGCGCATGCCTTTAGTCCCAGCTACTCGGGAGGCTGAGGCAGGAGGATCACTTGAGCCCAGGAGTTTGAGGTTGCTGTGAGCTAGGCTGACGCCACGGCACTCACTCTAGCCTGGGCAACAAAGCGAGACTCTGTCTCAAAAAAAAAAAAAAAAATTCAAAAGTATGTATCTGATCAGTGAATGCCTTCTCTCCAATCCCTGTGGGACCTGACTCATGCCATCTCTGAGCTCGGCCACCTTTTGCTTGTTGTGTCCCAGGGGGAGACCAGGGAGTATATTGCCCTGCAGGGCCGGATGTGTGGGCGGGGCTTGGGAGTGGCGCCGGCACTTCCACTCCTGTGCCACACCTCTGAGTCCAGTCGGGACCACACTGGACAAGAGAGGAGGTGGGGGATCTAATCTAGCTGTGGCACAGAAAGCAGGGGAAACAGGTTTGGTAAACATCTGGAAGTCTCTGCCACAAAGCTTGGCCATCAAATGATTATCCAAAAGGTAATCATTTTTTTTTTTTTTTTTTTTTGAGACAGAGTCTCGCTTTCTTTGCCCAGGCTAGAGTGAGTGCTGTGGGGTCAGCCTGGGCTCACAGCAACCTCAACTCCTGGGCTCAGCAATCCTCCTGCCTCAGCCTCCCATAGTGCTGGGACTACAGGCATGCACACATGCCGGCTAATTTTTTCTATATAGTATTAGTTGGCCCATTAATTTCTTTCTATTTATAGTAGAGATGGGGTCTCACTCTTGCTCAGGCTGGTTTCGAACTCCTGACCTCGAGCAATCCGCCCGCCTCGGCCTCCCCAGAGTGCTGGGATTACAGGCGTGAGCCACTGTGCCCGGCCCAAAAGGTAATCATTTTTTGAACCACCTAGATCCGGTGCACTCTTCCTTGGGGAGTCTTTGAAACTAGATGATAGGGTTGTCAGCCTATTTGGTCCATGAGATGGTGATGGTGAAGTCTCATGAATAGCTATTTTCTCAAAAACATGTTTGCCTTCTTCTGCATTAGCATATTTTAGGGGCCATTTCTTTCTGATAGTTTATAACTTTAAAAAAAGTCATGATGTGGACATCCCTTTAAATCCCATGATCCATCATCAACAATAGTGTTACGCAGCAACTCCCACTTTCGAATTGAATTCTGGTGCTCTCCATCAGCCGTTCGCTGGAGAGAAAAGACAAATAATTTCATAGCTCAAGAGCATCAAACAGATGAGCCCGCACACAGGGTCCGGTAGCAATTGCGGCGAACAAAGTGTTTAGAGTGTTTAGCCTTCCCGTTGAGGGCATGCGCCTTCCCTCTTTCTAGCTGCATGAGTTAGTATCGCTCAGGGCCGTCAGCACAGCTTTTAGATGAACATTTGGCTGTTCCCCTAGGTTGGCTTGCTATTGTCGCGGCTGCTCCCTGTTTGCTTTGGAGCAGAGGGACTGGGACCTTAAAAGCCGAAATTCTTTGCTTCAAGGTATGAACCGATTTCTTGCTCTCATTTAAAAGGAGGAGATGTTCTAGGGTGCCTCATCTTTCTTTCCCTTGAGATTTTCTTTCCTTTTAAACTCTTTGAGGCAGAAGAGCACTTTAGCCTCAGCCAACTGAAAAGATGTTGCAAATGCATCTGGGGTTTGGCATCCTCATATAATGTCTTTTCTTGAATGCGTGGGACGTGCCCTAGGGCGCTGCCCGCGCTCAGCACAGCGGCCATTGCGGGGAAAAGAGGACCGCTGGATGGCCGTCGTACGTAACCTCCACCTCTGGGTCTCTGCAGAAAGAAGAAACGGGTAATTCTGTCCCAAGGCTTAGCCCTCGTGTCTAGGGACGAGCCCCGACCCGGACGGCAGGGCCAGCCACTCCACAGCTTACTGTTCTCTGACTCCCAACACTCCGGCCACTATGCCTGGAAAGAACATCTAATCAAGACAAAGGGAAAGCCCCTGGAGTAATTTGTTCATCAGTAGGAAGCAAAGGAACTTCAAGTCCACTCTCCCCGCCTGAGTCGCGAACGAAGCGACTCTCCGCTCAGCCACTGGAGAAGTTTGTAACTCCATGAGAGCCACAGAGGTCTATGTCGATAGCAGTTCACTCTGTCCTCTCCCACTAGCCAGGCCGCCCACCTGTTGCAGAGCACCCCAGAGATTGTCAGAGAAGCCTCAGAACCGTCTTTCTCTGCTGCTGCAGCACTCCCAGAAGATCCAGACTTTGGCTGCTGGCAATGTGATAATAACAAAGCTCAGAGGACCCAAGGGAAAAGAGTCTCCATTTCTCCTTGCAGAGCAGGTATGGACAGTTCCACATCACCTGCTTCTCCCGGAGGCTGTGTCTCAACTCACTCTTAGGAACTGCCAATTCCATTAGCATTGTTTTATACAACGCTAACTACCCATCAGGCACTAATCCGGGTTTCTTGTAAATATCACAAAAATGAAAAATCTTCTACAATAATCATGTCTCATGTTAACACCTCCAATTCATTAATTTATTCATTTGTTTGTTCCCTTACTCACCAGGACACCCCACTCCTGGTAGTGAGAGCTGCCATAGGGTTTCAGGGTAATAGAGAAAGCAGAGACTGGAGTCTTAACCAGATCCCGGGGAAACTCACTGCCTTCGTGGGGTATGTTGACACCGTGGGAGCCAGCAATTTGTGTCAGGTGTTCAAGTCAAACTAATGCAATCTATCAAAGCCTACACGGGTGATACTTGTTCTCCGTCACCATGTTTCCATAATTTCTCAATGTCTTCCCACAGACAAAAAGAAATTTATGACAAGTGACATTTCACATTCATTCAAAGAGATTAAAGAAGTTAAATATGCCAATATGATATTTGCCTCCACAATTAACAATATTTTGTCCTTGGAGGTTTCAATATAGTGGCTGTATCATTTCCCTGTGGTCTCTTGCAGTCTTGTAATAGGCAGCAGCATCTCACAAATATGAGAAAATTCTTCAGGTTTTTATAGATCCCATCCAAGATCCAAGATCCCATCACTTGCATCAATTTATTTATTTTTCTCAATGTCTAGCATCAATATGATATAAATACCAAATTATGCAAATTCTACATATGTAAAAGGCTGGAAAACAGAGGATCTTAGCTCATCTATTAAAAATGTTCAGAAATAAAAGGAAATGCAGATTAAATAGATAAATGTAGAGTCTTAGCAAACAAAACACTTCAGTTGAAGAACAAAGGGGGAAAAATGAAGTGCTGAGCAGGTTGGAATCTTATCTGGTGACTTGAGACCTCTCTCTCTTAGCATGGCAATGTGGCTCAGTGTAACTGATAACCCATTTGCTAACCCTCATCTCAGCAGAAACCTAGTGTGAGCATCTGCTATGTAATAAGTCCCTTGAAAGTAGGGACAATTTTATTCTAGCTGAAGCCCTCGATCCGTAAACAGATCATTTTAGTACAGCTGACATAGTGCAGTAACGATGCAATGACTAAAAGGAAAGAAGTTTTAAAAACACTTGAGGGATAATCCCTAATCTCATTATTATTAACACATAAAAGCTTTTCCTCCATCTAAATTCTCAGCAAAGTTGTTAATGAGTTATCAAACATCTGATCTATGTCTCTGTTGATCTATTTCTCTTCTCATTGGAAGAATTGTTTTACAACTATTATCTCCTTTCCTTTTTTCCTAAAAAATACTATGCAGCTCATGCCATCCTGACTTCCACCCTCATCACCACCCAAAGAGTCCACCATCTTGATGATTCCAATTGGTATTATTTAGCTCTGTTTTTCTCAACCTCTCAGAAAGATGACCAGTCTGTGTGGCTATGCTCCCATTCTCCTATAATTGGATTGTTTGTGTTTTTATTATTAATTTGTAAGAGTTCCTTATATATTTTAGACAAAAGTTCCTTATCAATGTGTATAGTTTGCAAATACTTTTTCCTATTCTCTGAGTTGCTTTTTCACTTTTTTGATGATGTCCTTTGAAGTACAACAGTATTAACTTTTGATGAAGTCCAATTTATCTGTTTGTTTGTTTTTTTTTTTTTGGTCATTGGTGCTTTGTTTATGTGGTTTGGCTACCCAGGATTGGGCTAAAGTTTATTATGTTTCTCTTGCGAAGGTTCTATATATGTTTCAGCTCTACATATGTGTTCATGACCCTTTTGCGGTCGGTTTTCTGCTGCGATGGTGTGAGAAGGGATTCCACATTTGGTTCTTTGTGTGAATATGTCCACCTATCCCGAACAGGCAGCTGGTTCTTTCCCTCATTAAATTATCTTGGCACCCTTGTTGAAAATCAACTAACTGTAAATGTAAGGATTTACTTCTGAGCTCTAATTTTACTCCATTGTTCTATATATCTATCCATATGCAGTACAGCACTGTCTTGATTGCTGTAGGTTTGTGATAAATCTTGAAATTGGGAAGTTTTTTAGTCCATTCGGCCACTATAACAAAATCCCATAGACTGGGTGGCTTGTAACAAGGGAGAATTTTTCTCACAGTTTGGAAGGCTTGCGAATCTAAGGGCGACAGAATTCAGTATCTGGTGAGGGCTTAATTCCTTATGGATAGCTGTCTTCTCACTGTACCTCTCTGTTGGTGGAAGCAAGATTTTGTGGGTCTCTTTATAATTGTGTAACGTAATTCCCTTAGGAGGGCTAATCACCTCTTCTCCTAATACAGTCAGTGGTTAGGACTTCAACATAGGAATGACATAACATTCGGTTCTATGCCAGAATTAGTGAATCCTTTAATTTTGTTCTTTTTGGCTATTCTGGTCACTGATCTTTTGCCATATGACTATTAGGATCAACTTGTCAATTTCTGCAAAAAAAAAAAAAAAACCCATTTGGAGTTTTGATTGGCATTGCATTGAATCTATAGATCAATTTGGGGAGTATTGTCATTTAACAATATCAAGTCTTCCAATTCATGAACATGGGATGCCTTTCCATTTATTTAGGTTTTTCATATATTACAGAAACTATGTTCTTTCCAGAGTATAAATTTTATACTTCTTATGTTAAATTTTTTCTACGTATTTTATTCTTTTGGCTGCTACTGTAAATGGAATTATTTTCTTAATTTCATTTTTGGATTGTTTATTGTTCATGTAAAGAGATACAATTGATTTTGCTATGTTGATCTTGTATCCTGCAACCTTGCTGAACACATTCATTAATTCTAACAGGAGTTTGGTGGATTTCTTTGGATTTTTTTAAAAAAAAAGTCAAAACAACCGCAAAAAAAAAAAAGTTTAACTCCTCCTTTCCAAACAGAAGGCTTTTGTCTCATTTTTATTGTCCAGTTGCTCAGGCTGGAACTTCCAGTACAATGTTTGATAAAAGTGGTGAAAATGGATATTCTCGTTTTGTTTCTGTTCTTAGGGGGAAACATTCAGTCTTTCACCTTTAATATGATGTCAGCTTGAATTTTTCATACGTGGCCTTCATCAGGTTGCAGTAGTTCTTCCATTCCTAGTTTGTGGAGTGTTTTGTTTGTTTGGGCATTTGCTTTTAAATCATGACAGAGTGTTAGATTCTGTCAAATGCTTTTTCTGCATCTATGAGATGATCATTGTGGGCTTTTATCCTATTGATATGGTACATTACATTAATTGATTTGGGACATGGAACCCACATTGATCATTGGGATAAATGCCACTCGGCCACAGTGTGTGACCCTTTTTACATGTTTCTATGTTCTGTTCTCTAGCATTTTGTTGAGGATTTTCATGTCTGTATTCATAAGGGATGACGAGTTATAATTTTATTTTCTTCTGATAGCTTTGCCTGGCTTTGGAGGATCTTTTTTTAAAAAAGCAAACATGCTTGCTACTGCATTTCAAACTTGTGTGTTAATTTCTCAGAGAATAAAGGCCAGAATCCCTGACAAAGTCGCAAAGTGCTGCAAAGCCATGCCCTGGTGTCTCTGGCTTCTTGGCTGATTTTCCCCTTTCACATCCTGGAATATTCCCTCTTTCCTACATGTCTGGTATGTAGTCATTGTTTAGTTAAATATTTGTCAAATGAGCAATATTTATAGTTATAGTTAATTATAATTTCCTGTAAGTATAGGTAACAAAGTAGTTATATTATGTGTCAGGCAGTGCTCTACAACTTTTATGAATATTAATCCATTTAACTTTTTCTTGTAGGTATTGTCATCTCGGTTTCATAGATGAGAGAACTGAGGCATGCGGAGATCGGGCAACTTGCCTGTGTTGTCAGAGCCAGTGAGTGGCAGAGCAAGGGCTCCACCCAGACACCATTCACAGAGCCCATGCTTCTCAGCCAGGAAACCGCCACCATGCAGGAAATGAGCTGGTAGGTTCCTTCACAAATAGCTGGTAAAGCAAGTCACACGCAAGAACTTCCTCATGTGATCCCTGCACACAGACAAAGTGAAAACAACTTAAGACCATAAAAATTAATAAACAACTAATAGCCAAGTACTAGATTTCACAGGAAAGTTAACACATGCATTACTAGTCTAGAGAAGGGAAAGGTCACTGAGTGCTCCGCTCAGGGACATTTTTATGAATGAGGCAAAATATGAGTTGAGTCTTAAAGAGAGACAAGAACTCGAATAGCTGAAACTGAGGAGAGGAGAAATTAAGGGTATGATTCCTGAGAGCTGGGGTGATGCTGTACATTGCCTCTGGGTCTGGTAAAGTTCATCTGGGTTTGTAGGCTCTTGGTAAATACTCACTGATTCTGGATTTGATCCTTCTCATTGTAATCACCACCTCTATCATTGTCTTCTCAGAAAATTGAGGTAGTGGTGACAGAGGTCATGAGATCACACTCAGTGCTTGGCTCTGAGTCATTTGCAAAGGTAACATTAGGCTCTGTGTGCAGATGACCTGATCCTGTATATAGGAAATTCCAAAGAATCCACAAAATTACTAAATCTAATAAGTAAATATATCAAAGTTGCAGGGTACAAGCTGAAGGTACAAAGATCAGTTGTGTTTATATAACAGCAATGAGCATTATGAAATGGAAATTAAGAAAATAATTCCATTTACAATAGCTTCCAAAATAATAAAATATTTAGGAATAAATGTAACCAATGAGGAGAAAACTTATACACTGAAAACTACAAAACATTGCTGAAAAAAAATTAAAGAAGATAAAAAAATAAATGGAAAGACATCTTATTTTCATGGATTGGAAGACTTAATATTGTTAAAATAAATGTCAATATTACCTGAAAATATCTATAGATTCAATGTAATCCTGATTAAAATTCTGATTGCCTTTTTGCTTACATAGAAAAGATGATTTTCAAATTCATATGAAATCATTAAGGACCCAGAATAACTGAAGCAATCTTGAAAAATAAGGACAAAGTTGGAAGGCTCACATTGCCTGAATACAAAATTGCTACAAAGATATAGTAATCAAAACAGTGTGGTACTGGCATAAGAGTACACATATGGATGATAGAATTGAGGTTACAGAAATAAACATAATGGAAATAAATCTAGGCTAATTCATTTGGGACAAAGTTGCCAAGACCATTCTGTGTGGAAAAACAGAAGGACGGCACTGGGGCTGCTGCATTTCCACATGGAAAAGAATGGAGCTGGCCCGCTACCTGAAATCACACACTAAATGAACTTCAAATGGATCAACAACCTAAACATAGGAGCTAAAACTGTAAAGGCCTTGGGAAAAAACTCTGGGGCAAGTCTTCATGGCATTACCCTGGGCAATGGTTCCTTTAGAGATGACACCAAAAGCAGGAGCAAAAAAAGATAAAGTAGATAAATTAGACCGTCTACACCAAAATTAAAAACTTCTGTGCATCAAAGAACATAATCCAGAGAGTGAAAAGTCAACCCACAGAATTTGAGAAAATGTTTGCAAATCATATATCTGATAAGCGCCTAGTATTTATCCATACTATTAATATAAAAGAATACTATTATATAAAAGAATCCTTAGAACACAATAATGAAGACCAATTGAAAACGATCAGCATATCTGAATAGACATGCTGCAGAGAATAAACACAAATGACCAATAAGCACATGAAAAGATGTTCTACATCTTTAGCTATTATGGAAATAAAAGTTGAAACCACGCTGAGACACCACTTCACATCCGCTAGGACGGCTATAGTAACAACAGCAGAAATGACACAAAGACAGACACCCAGGAAACAGAGTGTGGCAGGGACGTGGACAAATGGGTTCTCGGTGCCTCGCTGGCGGGGACGGCAAGAGGCGCAGCTGCTGTGGAAAGTTAGGCATGGAATCGCCACGTGACCCAGCAATTCCACTTCTTGGTGCATACCCAAAAGAGCTGGAAACAGGACTCAAGCAAATATTCACACAGGGATGTTCATGGCAGCATAATTCATGACTCATAATAGCCGAAAGGTGGGAACAGCCCAAGTGCCCACCGGCAGGTGACTGGGCAAACAGATGGGGCATATACACCCAGCGGAATGTTACCAGCCACGAGAAGGAGTCACATTCTGATACATGCCTTAATGTGGATGAACTTTGAAAACATGATGCTAAGGGAAAGAAACCAGGCACAAAACGCCACATGTTGTATGATTGCATTTAAGTGAAATCCCTGGAATAGATAAATCCATAGGGCAGAAAGCAGAGTGGCGATTGCAAAGTGCTGGGGGGAAAGGAGAAATGGGAATTGACTGCTTAATGGGTCTGGGGTTCTCTTTGGGGTGACGAAATTGTTTTGCAACTAGATGGTAGCTGCACATCACTGTGAATGTTTTAAATGTCTTCCAGCTTTAAAATGGCCAATTTTATGTTCTGCAA